GGGCGCTCGCCCCGGCTCACCATGCACTGCCACGCCGAGCTGAGGCTGAGCTCGCCCGGCCAGCTCAAAGCAGCCAGGCGGCGCTACAAGACTTTCATGATCGACGAGATCCTCTCCAAGGAGACCTGCGACTACTTTGAGAAACTTTCCCTCTACTCCGTGTGCCCGTCACTGGTCGTGCGACCCAAGCCCCTGCATTCCTGTACGGGTAAGACGCTCCGCTGGGGGATAAGTGGGGTGCGGTGGCTTTCCGACCCGAGGGCGGGAGGAAGGGGTTAAGGGATTCGATTCCTGCTCTCCTGCAAGCGGTGGGCATTGCAAAGGCGTCTGCAACCCGGCCGGAAGGGCCCAAGGTGTTGCTCGGTTGGAAATAAAATAAAGGCAACATGGCCCTGGGAGTGGACCACTCGTACAACATCTGATTGCCCTGCCTGGAGGAGAACGCTTCCTCCTTTCTAGCACTGCTGTGGTATTCAGTGAGAAAGTTCAAACACTTGACCTGGTTGAGTACCTAAATCATTGTTTCAGGAAGCTGTGTTGTGGGTTTCAGCTTGATCTTGGTGGCCTTGCTTCTCACCTCAGTTAACTTGTCTAACCTCCTACTGTCTCCACTGGGTACTTTACAAGTAAATCAGTATCGCTGGATTCTCAACAAAATCCTGAATTCCCTAAACTTTACTTAAAATGATCTCCCTCTGGGAAAGTAGTTTTGCAGTATGTTATGTTTGTGACACAAGCTGAAGAGGTCAACCCCCGCTTAAGTATTTAAAACAGTGATAACAATAAAAACATTCTTCAATTTTAGTTTCCTCTCTCTCCACAAGAGCTAATACCAATAGGAAAGATAAGGGGAACTCAATACATATGCTGAAAAGTCATAGGTTTAAATAGAAAATAAATCAGAAGTATTTTTAAAACTTTGAGCACATTAGAAAGAAGCTTCAAATTTCAAAATGCCCTGGCATTATTAGGATTTAGGCTATGGAAACGGGGGTATGGCACAAAGAACAAGAAGTTGAAGCGATTTTTACCAAAAAAGTTATTGATCATTCCCTCCACTAAAATGTACTTCAAAATCAAAATAATCTTTGAGGTTATGTTTGTTGCATGAGTGGCATGAAATAAATTAAATTATACTTACATTGAAGAAATGAAGAACCAGCAGTGGTCTTGAAAGACATTTTTGGAACATTCAGATCACAAGCTGTTAGTGCACATGCTTGGAATCCTGTATTTTCTCTTGGTTCCAATGATAGTTCCTATGAGGCAACCAGTAAATATATACTAAATGCACACAGTGAAGTTCTTTTAAAATCAAATTATTTGGATAACTACATGTATCTGGATATAAAATGAATTCTATATTCAGTTACACCTTCACCTTTTGAAAGTTAATTTGTCTGTAAGGTATAGTTAGTCCTGATATTGTATAACAAGGGTTTGTAGTACTGAATTTTTAAAATGCAGAATATGTGAGGCAAGAAACAAAAAATTTTAGAAACAAGATAGATTTCCTCAATGTTGATATTTTTACATTTGTGTGCTTGCTGTGTGTGGACCCATGGATGAATAGTATATATGTATATTGAACAGGAGAAGTAGGCTGAATCTTGTTTTGAGCACAAATAATCATTTACTATAACTCAAATCCTGTTAAGGAAAAAGACAGGATCGGCTTTAGTCACAAACATTGCATATGGGAGGTTCCTAGGACAAAACGGAATAACTTCTCCTAAGTACCTAGATAGATCCTAGAGCAGGCAGAATTTTCAATGACTTTGGGTCCTGTGTAAACTTGAAGGCAGCTTTTCCTGGCTTCTAGGTGTCATAAAATTGGATTATAAGCAAAAACATGCCAGAAAAGGAGTAATAAATAGCCTCAAAAAATAGTCACCCAAAGTTAGCTGAGTAAGTTTTATGTTTTATTGAGCCTTGTGTGGGAAGTCAGAGAAAAATAAAATTCATAAATAGTTTTGTGTGCTACAAGTGAATTACACATATATCACAGACTAAAGTTTTGCTCAATCTTGTGCTTTTAGACGTTCATTGGTGGTTTGTGGCAGAGGGTGGTTGTTGGCATTGGTTTTCTGACCCTATTATTTCAGTGCTTTATTTCTTTAGATTGGTCTTTTGAAAATGTGTCATGATTTTGCTCTAGTTGAGAATTAAAATATAGAAACTGGGATTTGCTGGTGGAATTAAACCCATAAAAACTGGCTACAGTAGTCCATACTTTCAGATCATAAGCCTTCAGTGGGTTTATGATTACAGTTAAAGCCTTACATGTATTAGATCATGGGAATCCCATTAGTGACTTCTCAGGGGCTTTGCAAATACCATACTTTCAAAGCATTTTTGTTGATTTTAACTGTTAAGTTCAGGGTCAAAAATCTTAGATCGGATGAACATAATCTTTTTTATTAATTAAAAAAAAGACAGTACATTGCTGGCACCCATAATGAAACTATATTTTATTTTTTATTTTTTGCTGGATATAGCTAAATGTTTAGCACTTGTGGTGGAACCAACACAAAAAAGTTCAAGTTAAGTGAAAGATATAACTTGGAATTACAGTTACTGAACTTTTTCAATCTTTTGTTTGCTGATTTAAGGTTTAATCAACTATTACAGAAGTGAACTGTGTCAGGTCATATGATACAAATTAAGATAAAAAATATCTTCAAAATTTAAAAGTTACCAGCATGTACAATAAGTACATAAAATTGGTGTAGGAAGAAAGCTCCAGTGTTTAGGAAAAGCTCTACAAGTGAAAGCCATCCATACTGTTTAGATTTAGTAATCTAAAGACCAATTTATGATATTGAATCTCCTCAGGCAGAAGAGTATGTATTCAAATAAACTGAGAAGTGAAAATATTTTTCATCAGGCAGATAATCACCTGACAGGAATTTATTGTTAGACACTCTAACCTTGATGAAATCTTCACCTTCAAAAATTATTGTTTATTTCAACAGGCCCTTTCTTATTATAAATGCAGTATTTTTAGTCCTAGGAAGTTGTCTTTACATTTCTTTAGGTTTTCTAGTAGATCTCATAAATCATCTTAATATACATTGAGAAAGAATCCTTTCCTGCTATGGCCAACTATAGGAAAGTTTATAGTTAAATTTACAATAAAGTTTAAAAAAAACTAAGCCCAAAGAATGCCTCTATTTGAAGAAAGTTTTATTGTTCAGGCCATTGATAAGGGGTGGAATATGTTTAAAATTAACTTATTATATGAGAAGTTGGTCTTATTTTTAAACCTGATAACAGTGATCCCCGTGCAGAATGGAAATGTATTGCCATTCAGAAATCAGTAATGATCTCTCATAAACATTAGAATGTTGACAGCAATGGAAAAAGCCAAAAATGAGGTGCACAGTAGGATATCATAAATACTATTTAACTTTAGGGTGCATTGCTTTCTTTTTCTGTGATTGTGGTTAATGTTTCTTGGTGGAAAGTCACTTGAAGAAAGCTGGTTTCTCAGAGTCGAATGGATTGCGGAGGCATCGGCACAGTCATTTTTGAAGGCTCTGCCTTTCAGTCTGGTCTTTAGAAGCAGGCAGAGTTTAAATTTGAGGAGTGTTTGGAAAAAAAATGAGAAACTTGTTTCACACAAACAAGGATGTAATAATTTACCCTAAGAGTTTTCATATGAGGATACTGGCAAACAAACCTATGGTACTAATTACTTATTTATTATAATTATTTATACTTAGAATCTAGAATTATCTTTCATTTGCACACATGCATTTGGGGGGAGGTGAGTATAGGTACTTGAACATTTTACAACTGGTAACCAGTACAAGACTTTAAATGATTACATTAAAACCTATAGTCTGATTCTCTTCTAAGGCAGAATGACTCTTGAATCTCTCACCTCTTTCTGCCCTTCGGTGGTCAGTCCTAAAGAGGTGACAGTTGACTTACAGAACTGGAAGAGGTCAGAGATATTATAGACCAATCTCTCCAAGCAGGAGATTCTTTTTGCCAAGCGCCAAGGTCATATCAGTGCTTCAGCACATTTTCAGTCCTCACTACACCGTCGTCCTCCTTGTCAGAGTACTCAGAAATCAGGAAGACTTTTTTCCAATTTGGTTACACACCCAGGATAAACCCGTGCAGTCACACCCAGGGGACAGTCAACCAGCCAATTATAAGGGGTATTTGGGGAAGGGTGTTTATCTTAGGAGGTGACATTGAGAACATTTTATCCTTTGGTGGGTCCGAGAGAAGCAAATTCTTTGGGGTGGTGTTCTTGGGTGCGTTTTTATCACAAACATTGGGTGTCATCCCACTGAAAAATGAAATGCGTGGAGACGTGTATAATGACTTGTTTGGGAGTTAGGGAGCCGGCTACTGCCTATTGGAGTTGGCTCCGGTGATTCTCCAAATCTCAGCTCCGTCTTTAGTCTTTTAGTCAGAGATCCAGTCCCGTAGGATCTTAAGAACCTGAGAGTTGGACACTGGAATGTTAATGGAGAAACATAAACCAGGGTCTGGGAAAATGATCATTATCAACAAGCATTTGTGTTTCTGCCAGAGGCACATAGGCTTTTATTAGCAATTACTCATAGCTGCTTCTCCTGTTCCCATTCTAAGGGTAAATAAATCGAGGGATATTCTGGATCTAGGACTCATCCAGGTTCAGAATAAATTTGGAACTGAGGTCTTATTTAATTATTCCTTAATTTGTACAACTCCTTTGTTAAATAGAGATGCCAAGAGTTTCCTTAGGAGTCAGTTTTAACTCATGAATTGTTCATTAACAGTGTCTTCTGTGGCTCCGGTTTTTCTAATAGCAAATGGGAAAATGATTAGAAATTTTGTTTACAAGCTTGAATGCTTCTTCAGATGTCTGTAATCTTTTGTATCATTTTATTCTATAGTTTACATCAATAAATATTCATGTTTATCCAATGATGACATTATCTTTGAGTTCATTATTCTTTTTTTTTTTTTTTTGAGTCCATTATTCTTAAGCTTATTCTGAATCTTGACTAGCAGTTAGGGTGTTTTTAAAATCTCTTTAAACTACTTGTAGAGCCACTGCCAAGCCCTTCTTTGTTGTTCTCTAGAGTATGTGATAGGCAGTTTGGAATTGGGATAGGGGAGCATTTTGACAATTGAGTACTTTTGCTTACCATGTGGAGTTTTCTCTTTGAACTCCACCTAAAGGGTATTATCTTCAGCAAAGCTGTC